GACAGTACTGTGAAACTAGAAATTTAATCTACTAAAGACATGGCTTGTGTTCCTGTTACCTGTACTAACATATACTAATATATGACGTATATATTATCACACTTGAAGGCATATATGTAGAGGGCAACCGCTAGAAGGAAAGATTAGAAGCAACGGAATTTACAATCATGAATGTCATATATCAGGAATAAAGGTGTTGTAAGAGAGTCTGTGTATAGAAATCGCGTGTGCATAGTCATATCGAGAGGGAGGATCTAGGGGTTCCCTTTATATGAATACAGTGTTTGAGTGGACAAAGCCATTGATCAAAAAGTGCCAAGTGATTTATAGTCATGTGTGTCCATACACTCCCCACACATCAGAAACATCTATTTAAACTTCTTTGAACATCAGTCAATAGTGTATTGAGGAAGCAGACATTGAACCGAATCATGCCTCAATCACTATTTGCTATGCGATATATGAAACACACACTTATCGTTTGTACCTTGAGATTCTAGTCTCTGTTAGGGGTGATTTCATGTTCTGCTCAAGTGCATTCCGTCATTGTATTATTTGGGAGGAAACAAAAATTGGCAACAAAAACCTCAACGTGTAACACTATCAACATTATCAATATCGATCAGAAGTATTAAAGAGTTATGGCGATTGTGCAATGTCAACGATAAAACACCACACAGCAGCAACCCTTACGTAACACTAAACATAAGTCATGAACATGTCAGATACTGATACATATTGCATTACTAATCATATAGTAAACACTTTCTTAGTAAAGTACAGGTTCTCTTACTTTTTTGGTTGAGTACCGTCCGGGATTCGAACCCACACTGCCAGAGTGAGGCACATAATCGCCAGCACACAAAGTCAGCGATCTAACTCACTCCATCTTCCCGAGGCAAGAGAGTTAACTGACTTTAAAAGTCCAGTTTCCACCCTTGCCGAACTAGGCTGGAAATACTGGGCTCGATCGCAGCGCCACCAGTGGCTATTACCAGTTATGTCCCTTCTAAGCGTCCCCTATCAGATTCGACCTCTCGTATCACTTGTGTTTGCTTCACACAATGTGGTTGCGTCCGGTCGGGACGATCTGATCGATAATCAATATCTATATTGTGATAAAACGGGTCTTACATCGCGAAATGCATCAAATCCCGCGAGTACCTTGATTAAATACATGAAAAGATTTGGAAAATATCTGCTGACAACGAGTTGGCGGTGCACATGCTTTGCAATTCCTGCGATCGACCGTAATCTGCGCGACAGTTTACCAACCGGATTTCGATTGTGGTGCGCGATTTTGATTGGACAATGCATAGACTCGTGAGTCCAGCCAAATGTAACTCCATAATACTAGCCTAGTTCGGCAAGGGTGGAAACTGGACTTTTATAGTCAGTTAACTCTCTTGCCTCGGGAAGATGACTCACTCAGCCACCGAGACTTCCACAAAAAATGAAAGTCCGTCAACTGGTAGTCTTGATCACATACTTTGTGTACCCCTCTGACAAGTGTAAATTGGCACGGATCCCATGGCCGAAAGCTATGAACACACAATGCCATGTAGAAATTGATCATCCCAGACGGGACTCAACCCAAAAAGTACGAGAATCTGTACTTTACTAAGAAAGTGTTCTCCCATATATAACATTTGTTACATTTGACCGCTTTCTAAATGGCATAGTGTTCATAGCTTTTGGCCATGGGAGCCGTGCTACGTACACGAAAGAAGTAGTTATCCACTAATTTCCACCAATGTGCTGTAAGGACTTAGCTTCACAATCAGTTAATGATGACCCCAAGAAGCATTGCAAATGTAGCCTGCTCGTTTAACCATTTGTTACCATTGTTGTACACCTTTGACCAACTAAAATTTGCTGTCTACTGTATGTGTATTGTAACCTACACCTAATAAGTATAATACATGTCATGTTACTCTATGTTACTCTAAAGCTATGTAACATCATAAACTGAATTGAAGGAAAAGTATTAAAAAATGGAAAGTAGTTACGTCATTGGGATGGAAATTTTACCAGTTTTGTCAACCGGAGAAATATTTAGGTATTAGGTGCCATGCTTGTATCTGATCACAGTTACAATATGAAGGGTAAAACTGATTACAAAGCTTGACGACTGTGTTTGTAAGAGGCGACTAACGGGATCGGGAGGTGAGACTCTCTGATGTATGTCATTGATCTCAATTGCGTGGATCGATGCTCATGATATCAATCACTGGATTGTCTTGTCCAGATTCGGTTTTTTACACAGACCGCCGTCATATAGCTGGAATATTGCCGAGTGCGGCGTAAAACAACAAACAAACAATAAAAGCTTGACGAAGTAAATTAGAGCTCACACATACTTAAAAAATCTTCTGTTCATCCATAGTAAAGTTGTCATGGTCTGATATAGTAAATTGTTTATTACTTACCACGTGTGCGCAAAATGCATACATCAAAACAGCGACAGATAACGCATTGCTTAAATATGATTTCAAACTTCGAGGTTTCGCCGCATGACGGCTACGATCTGGCAGAGCATAATGAGTGGCTTCGGAGTATTACCTTGGATTGATAGCATAGGATTGTAGGAGTTACTCCCCTTGGCCAGTAAATATTTGTATGTACGCTTTGGAGTGCTACTATTCGCCACACGAACAGTTCTGGCAACGATTCCGTTTTATAGTAAGGGGTAGGAGAGTTTTAACCTTTTAGGTAGAATACGTTTGTTGCCTGTTATCTGAATATGGCGAACTACATATTAAGAGTAACAAGTAATGGAAGGATGAGTGATAGAGTGCACCTTTACTCCGCTTTTAGCGTCATTACAGCAACATCACGCGGGGAGGACTAGAAGTGTCACTCATTCTACTCAAGTGTTGAAACGGACCACGAGTGATGACGAGCGAACGCTTTTGATCCAGGTTACCCGAATTACCCAAGTCTTACAAGAAGGAGTCTTTGGCTAATGTAAGAAATTGAAATATGGTTGTCATGACCACCAAGAAAGATCAAGAAATATAATGGTTTTATTGTATTGTATTGTAGAATGATATCATAAGCTGTGTTCGCAATATGACCTGCATCAAGCGGCATTTTGTAAATGGATATAATAGAGGGATGCAATAATCCAAGTCATCGAGCCTGACCACCTGATCCAATGTCTCCTCGTACGACAAGCATGGGTTGCTAGGGGGCAATACTTTGTCTCGGATTCCTCACGTGTGATTCAATACATATGAATTTAGGAATACTTTTTTTCTATTTTGTAAAAAGCAAAATCAATGAAACTGTGAATGTGTGACAAAACTGTTGATCGTTAACACCTAATTTATTACTCTTAATTACTTGTCACCTGCCAGTTATTCATTATTCGGCTTCCGTCCTCCCGAGAACACAAACATTTTAGTTACATTGACACGCATATGCACCTAATGTACGAATTGCATGTTTCTCATCCTTGTTCGCCATCTCAAAATAAATACTAGTGATACATCCTTTGACATAAAAACGACACGATATTTATTACTAATGTATATAGACATATATAATGTCAACTAAATAGAATTATCAGTCTCGATCACCTGCCGAAACAGATTCCATTGCGCATAAAAAGGCAAAATAGTGGTGAAAATTATATGAATGGGTCACTGAAAATAATTGTTGTTTTATCGTGATGTTTATGTTTATGTTGTCATTGGCACAATATGACGAGATCTTAGCAGATTTTAGGCCTAGTTGGACTCCTGATCCATTGGCAGGATAACAATTGTATTTAGTTTGTCCTTGCGATTTTGTTTCGCAGATTAAAAGGGTCTAAACACGGTAAACAATTTATTCACTCTTCATCTATTCAATCATACGGATTAAAAAATATATATGCACATATAGCTTAAATTAGACATTATGCAGGACATGTCTGTTTGGAACAGTATCTAGAACCAGCCTATACAAGAGCGATGAGAAGGCGATTCGTTTTTTTTTTATCGTGTGCCATGTTTCTAATCTATTTGCCAGGTGTTGTTTCAATAATTATTCTTGCCTGCTTTCAAAACTATCTTCATCTTCAAGAACGGAGACATGCCCGTTTCAAGCCATTCAACAGTGGCAATACTCTGAAAATTCTAGGGCCTGTTACTTAATAACATAAAATGGCTGCTGCCTCTTGTTTGACTGTTTTCATTGTCTCTCCGTCCGAAAACCTAAAACAGTGTGTTTTAACATACAGTAAACTACGGTTATAACGAACTCAAAGTTACCTCTAATTTTAGTTCGTTATAACCGTATTTCGTTATAAGCATATATACAGCTTAACAACAGCAAATAGTCGGGACAAAAAAGTAAGTTCGTTATATCCGTCAGTTCGTTATAATCGTGTTCGTTATAAACGTAGTTTACTGTAATTTAATAGATGAAGCATTGAACTTTTGTGATTAATAAAAAGGTTTTGTGCAAACTGATTTCTGGGTTAACCTCTGCGTTTCAATTTGGAAATTGCCTCGTACCAAACACGCATGTAAATAAGAAAATAAAATCTGACAGGCGCTGTGAATAAGGGGTCAGATTCGCATTCATCTGCCACATTTGAACACATTTCGTTTGTAAATAATGCGTGTGTTTCACTCTTTTGTTCTATGAAACAGTTGAAAGTGCTCGCTGTTTCATCAATATGATTACAAAGTGATAGCTTTACTGTGCCAAAGACGAAATGAAAACTAACAGAAGGATTCCGACATAACCACAGACCTACTTCATGGTATATGAAGCCCCTGTTTTAAAATAAATACGTATACCTCGGTTAGTGACGGAGAAATAATGTACAGTGTGTATTTAAATTTTAAGAATTCAAATTTGAATTCACAACCTTTTTTTAATAAACTGACCTGACCACAACTGTTAAACTTTGGGTGTCATGAGGACAAGCGTCAATCTTGCACTTCAAAAGCAGATGCTTTCGACAAAGGGGTCTTGTCAGCCTTGGCTGGTTGTTTTTCTTGTAAAAGGAATACTCTGGCAACCCCCTCAACAAAAACAAAGAGAAGTCAAGACAAACATGATGGTCCATGGCTTTGAGCAGCCTACAGTGGTCTCCATCAACGTCTTCAAGCTGGAGGTGGTGAACCAGTTCACCTATCGCGGCTCCACCATCATAGACAATCTTGTCTATGATGCTGAGATCAACACGCGGATTGTCATAGCGCGCCAGCCCCGCCAGACTGACGAAAAGGGTATGCGTCTTTAATAAATTACTGTGCGACATCGAGTATTGGACCTTCTCCTCTTGACAAGACAAGAAAAGAAACTCAACGCCTTCCACATGCGCAGCCCGAGGTGCATCCTATGCATTAGCTGGAGTGACCGAGTCACAAACACTGAGGTTCTTTCCCATGCCAAGATACTACGTCTCTTACAGTTGGATTATATATTGATTAAAAGAATAATAATTGAGAATCTGTTTATGCTGCAAAAAAATGTTTGAGCTCCTAAACATGAAGAAAAAAATGCTGATCCCAAACCAACACCACACCTTTTAAACTCGAAAGGTCGTTCTCTCAGATTCTTATTCATATACTACAAATGTAACATTTTCGAATGTCTACAATCTGTGTCGTTCACTTGAAAATGGCTCCTGACTGATCAATATGATAACAAAATGATAGTTTTACTGTGTCAAAACGAGACATGTAGACTCGGTCTTCGGAACACAGCCATATCCAACAAGTCGGTACGTTGTCGCTCGTCGAACGCCGGGCACAGGCAATAGGAGCAATAGGAGGACTTGAAGAAAAGCTACAAAAATTGAGTACCTTCTGACGAACAGTTTGTACATAATACCAAATGATGAGGCCAAAGGACTTACATGTCCGGATTCGGAAATGTTGTTTTATCGGTCAAAATTATATACACGCTTCTCTAAGCTGCTGCGGGTAAAGGGAATTTGTTGGAACATTAAAGTCCATTTTTTTAAAACAGTATAACGATTCAATAAATGTTATGTGTAAGACCTGTTTGTGTCAGATAAAATACTGATTAAATCACAACCTAATGAAAGACAGACATCACAGATAATGTGTGAACACTGTTTACTAGATCCAAGTGACCTTCCTATCACCAAATCATCATTGACCCACAAAGGTAATATTAGTTTCAAATGAGTTACATAATCCATTATTTGTAACAGAAAGAAATATAATTATTCCTTACTTGAAAAGGAGAGAGTTTAGTGTTGCACATTACGATCATCATAATCTAGCTGACACTGATTTATTAGGTAACAAATATAATGTTAAATATTAATGATTTCAATTGTTTATCCCAAAAAAGGTTATTACAGTTAGAGTGACTGAGTGATTTACATAATGTCACATCGACAATATTTCAACCATATCCTGACGAGAACAATTTAAACATGACTAATAAATTCGTTTGTACTATACAAAAAATTGTCCACAATGGACAATAATACAACTAGGATATCACAGATGTGTATTTAAAACTATCATGTAACCATAAAAATATGACTTTTCTTAACACTACATTTTAATGGAGCTACAGATCACAAGCAACCTAAGATAGGCCACCATACTAGGGACCGTGGGGACTTTTGGTGCCCCTGTATGATTTATACCATCTCTTTAGTCACTGGAAAAAGATCACAAATAATATTACGCTAGCCGAAACCCCATCAAGGGCACAACTACTAACAATCACAGTTGAAAATCATATACTACCAATTTAAGAAATACATTTCTATCTACATCAACATGTATCAGTTCCCGGAGTTGGGCGACTATGCTTGTCGTAAGAGGCGACTAACGGGATCGTGCTTGCTGACTTGGTTGATGTATGTAATTGTATCCCAACTGCGTGCATCGATGGTCACGATGTCATTCACTGTCTGATCCAGATTCGATTATTTACAGACCGTCGTCATATAGCTGGAATGTTGCTGAATGTGGTATTGAACAGCAAACAAACAAACACATAAACCAACGATTTAAATGTGGTTGGGTAACCTACAAAAAACGATGTCGTATTGGCCAATAGCAAGACCATTATGTAAGTTAATGGATTACAGTGAGAAGCAAACATAAATCATGGATTACCAGCGAAATGCGAACATTAATTCGTAAACGTAATTTAAACCTTAAACTTGTAAAGTGGAAGAATTTACCATCTGATTGGGAAGGATTTAGAAGTTTAAGAAATACGGATACATCTGTTATTGTGAAAGCCAAAACGTGGTTAAGACTAGATGCCATGACTAATCTCACTCGTAGTAAGACGTAGTGGCATTTACTTAAAGACTATCTGACGCAAAGGGAGGAATCTGTAACTTGTTAACTTGTTAACTTGTCTACGCATATGTTTTACAGCAATCAAGCTATGATTGTGGGTTTCACTGCGCCAAATAGCATGACTGGAAACAGTCCAGAGATTATGTTACGAACTTATACCACTAATTATGTTCAGACAGTCACTTGAGCCTTTCATCTTCACTATAATGTAGAAAGAAATCGTGTGTAGTTCATGTATAAAGAAAGGGCAATGTAAACGAATTTACTAATTTAAGACCTGTTGCCCTCACAAGTCTATTGTTCGAAACTCTTTGAAAAAAGGTTTAACATTACTATGCAGTTTCTATAAAGATAATAATATAATAAGTTAAATGACTCTTGAGGTTTGACATTTGATGGTCTTGGACTTTAGGATAAATCTTTCTTTAAAAAATGTGCTTACTGGAATGTTCGATTTGATTTATTCGAATGACTCATCTTGCGTCGCTACTTGCGGGGATGCAGTTCATTATTTATTTGTATTTCCAAAGTTTTACATTCTTATAAATGAAAAATGATAAGTTTTATCATACAACTTGATACAATCTTAAGATTTTAAGTCATATGGAAATATTGAAAAAATGGTAAATAAAAACTTAGAAATTATTCAATCTGTGCATCATTACATCTCGCAGTCCGGCAGATATAATTAACAAATTCCGGTGTATTGTTCGAACAAAACCCTCAGAATATTAAGACTGCATTGTTAGATCCTACTATTGAATTTGTACCCAAATGAAGCTAATGACCATAACGTCAGGTTACCATGCTATCGCACGCTGTAAAACTGTTTATCAACAAAACGTTGTCAGGAAAACAGACAACCAAGATACTGTTCACGAGCACAAAATACTTTGTCATACGAATTACACGAAACCTAAAGATTCTTTTACCAGCAGTGTGATCAGGCGGACAGATGACACAAAGACGTGGCATTCCCACAGATAATCTAACGAGTTTTCACTAACACTGTGAAATCATGCACACAACACCCAACGACTAAGATACACAGACAACCAACCAAAGCGGCTAAACAAAGGCTTAAACCAATCAGGAATGCATGAGGCACCCGTGCAGCCAACATACCGTTCACCAGGATCCTTGTTATCATATTACCTTTATGTTAACTAGCAGCGTGCTCAGGCACACAGATGATCATGATCTGAGATAATGAACCATACTAATACCTTGTTGTTCACTGGCAGTAAGTAATTAAGTATTTATACGATCTAAAGAATGCTCTCATGGACAGCCATGTACAAATTAACACAAAGTAGTCAGGGAAAATCAAGAGACTTTTATGAGCCTGTGATCAGACAATGTGACAAAATTAAGACTGTTCATCACCATAATGCGAACATGCAAACAGAAGATCATGTGCTTGTACGACGTAACAAATACAAAACAACCACATTGAATCAGTGATAGAGGCAACAAGCACCAAGTACTAAGATTGTTCACTGGAAGCAATAATCTGCCATAAAGGTAACCTAAAGAGTATACACTAGAACCATGACATGTTCACTGGCATCACAGATATCGAGAGACCTTCAGACAACAAGGACTTAACAATCTTAACAAAAGTATAGACATGTCCAAAATGTACGAAGAAAGAAGGCCCATAAATATAGCTTACAAGACACTCATTTTACGCCCGAACTGGAATCAAATGTGAAACAGGAATGAGAATCTGAATATTGTTAATTTGGCAGAGTTCTTTTAAGCCTCAATAAAGACATGCCAGGAATTTAGAGAAGCAAGTGCCATGCTAACAGATGACCAGACGAAACTCTTACCACACATTTAAGAGACGAGAGTGCTAAAATGAATTATTATTTATCATCTGCATAAATGCATCGGCAAGATGTGCACTGTGTGATGAAATGTTTATTGAACAATCTGGTGAAAGACATAGTATAGCTGTTATTAAGTAGCACACTGTCATATGACACAGAATGAACACTATTTATATACCTTCAACCAACAAACATTTTGAAAAATGAAATTTGCCAATATGAGTAGTCAATTATGATAGACCCGATAAAGGGTCAAATTAAAACGAATCAGTCAATGCCACTGTGAAAAAATTCTTCAGAAAACAAGAATACATTCCACCTGTTACTAGTGTTGTGGTACCTCTGACTACTTCAGGTGAAGCGTCAATGTTGCACTGACATGTTATATTCTTTGGCCTTTTATTTGTCGCGTGTCTCTTCACATCAGACGAAAGAACAATTACCACTGACCTTTGTTTATTGCATGCAGTCATTTCAAACCATGACAGAAGCCAAGAGTCAACTTTCATTGCCAATGTAAGGCTTGTTGTCCACAGGTTACAACTGCCACCTGAAATGTAGAATCACTGTAATCACCTTTTAAGTACCATTGCAAATAAGTGCGGTAGTATAATATTCAACCATTATGATAAACCTTTAAAACTATTCTACATCTTCCACCATCATTATCTTGTGCTCGGATTCGTACTCTGGACTCTTTTAGCAGAGATTATTATGATTATGGAAAGGATTTTGTTGATATTATTTACTTTGATGCTAGTAAGACTAGATGCTTTTGTTTATTTAGCAAAAAGCTCATTAATATAGGAAAGTATTAAAGTGCTACGTACATACCACATGACGTTATTGAATTGATTATACATTATTGAATTTAAAACCCATTTCAGAAAACAAGGAAGTTTCTGTACAAAAATACCCACCTAATACACCAGAACATGCGTAAAATGTATATTTGCATAAATACAAGCGAGGTGGTCACTCAGACAAATGAAAACACACACAGACAGACAGGCAGACAGACAGACAGACAGACACACACACACATCATAGCAAAACGTAGCGATAATCATACACGTATGAACTTCCGCTTTTCATAACAAAAATGACCT